TTTCAATTTACCTAAATATAAAAAATATGATAACATATTATCAAAAACCAATCCAAAATATCGAAAATACAAAAACATATCATAGAATATCGGAAATGAAATCAATTCGATCAGATATTTTGAATTTTCGTCATATATGCCCGAGTTCGGAGCCTAAAGGGTATAAAATATTAACAAAAATTCTAAAACGGCACATAAAATTTTATTTTAACCAAAACGGCAAAATCGTTGGAACAACAGCGATTTACTCCACCGAAAAAAGCAAAATTGTTGTTCCAGCGATTTTGCTGTTTTGGTTGAAACAAAATTTTATACACCGTTTGAAATTTTTATTAATATTTTATACCCTTTAGGCTCCGGACTCATATATGCCCAGCCTGCATAAATACCGAACCAAACCAATTCTTTTTTTTGATATTTCGATAACATTTTTATATTTTTGATATTTTGATTTGATTTTGATAATATGTTTTTCATATTTTTGGTATTTCGATTATACCAAAAAATACACACTAATATGCACACTATAATAAATAAATGTAGTTATTAATTCTATTAAGCATGTTCATTTTATTTCATTCTTCACCCTTGGCAACTTAACATTAGGTTTTTACTTTTGTTTTTCCGATTTCTGCCGCATCTTTTGCTTCTGCCTTCTAGGCTACTCTTCCAAATTTCAATTCCAAGTCAAGCCTCCAGTGACCGCCGACCAGGTAGCAACCCGCGACCACGACAAATTTTTTCAAAACCAAATTACAAAAATGAATCGAATTAAAAAATCACAAACTGAACCAAATTAATTCAGTTCGGTATTCAGTAAAACAATTTTCAAAAATCGAAAGCAAACCAAATGACAGAATCCCTGGCTCTTATATCTCAGGTTGCTTATCTCAAATCTCGTCGAGTAAATTGCTAACTCTAAAGAATTATGAAGATCTAGAGGCAACAAAAAAACGCATGAACAATAGCTTTGTGTATTTATTTAAACGGGATGGTTAATTAACTTGTCTGCACAGATATGGACAGTTCTTGTGACTCTTTATCAAGCTAAATGAGGACAAGTGTTTCCTAAACTACAAGAGCAAAACATGATAGAATAAGCATATGACCGAATTCAACAAATTCGGACTGTGGAGCAGCTCCCATAAATGGAAAATATTCACATATCAACTTCTTAAAAAATTTAACACAACGATGAACTTTTACACTAATTCAAAAGAAAAGTTGAAACAGGTGACGCACCTATTCTAGTAGTCCCTCTATCTCTTTTGTGGCATTCAGCAACTCCAGGACAGTCTGTAAACGGGTTCATGTTTGTAAGAGATGACAACATAGGCAGTCTGCATACAGAAAAAACGGTCAGTATCTGTGCATCTAATTATAATGCTCAACCAATCAAGATAAGTCCCACTAGAAGCTATTCAACATCACTTAATGCAATTGAGAATTTGAGATAACAGTGGCATTCCTGGCACAAGCACGATCAGATGAACAATGTTAACTGGCCCTTATTTCGCCATTCAAACAAGTCTCCATCCCAAAAGAAAGAGTATTTCATTTTACTTATACATTCACCCACGATAAGATGCTACTTCACATTTACCTCAAAAAAAAAACAGAAGATGCTACTTCAAATATACAGAAGGGTTCCAAAAGTAACATCAGCCTTCACTAATTCAGCAGAAACAACAGCCCTCCAGTCTTAAAGATGGTTGAAGCCCTTAATCAGGCAGGCCTAAAACATCTTCAGCTTACCATCAGCGTCAACTGAGCTATCTAATTAATGAAATAAAAACTTAAGCTCATATGGCTCAGACCTTCACATGTAAGATATTTTGAATCTAATTTCTACACATTTTTTGTGTCTTGACCCTTTCAGAAGAATCAATTTAATGATGAAGGCAATAGTAGGTTATCCAATTGAGTCATACCTTTAAATTTTGAGTAATGCTCAATGACGTCATCAACACGCTAGTCAAAGCTTGGTATGTAACCATGAAGGAAGGCCTTCTGAAAGCCCACCGAGGTAATCCATTGCAACAACTCCATTACAAAAATGATGCTAATTTCCCTGAAATGCCAACAGTTAATGATAGTTATTACAAATTCTTTTATAAGAAGATAACTTGTCTGAGACTTTAAATGCTTTTGCAAGCCACAGACCTTCAACAAAAAAAGTCCCATAACCATTACAAAAATAGACTACAACAACTTTTGGGGAAGATTTCAAGCCCTCGAGAACTAACCTTATAAGACTTTGCCAATAAATGTCGAAAATTATACAATGTAAATCACATCAATAGTATGGATATAACATCCAAATTTCAACAACTTGTACGCTAAAACAGACTCTTCTCCCTTTTCCTTAGTCTATGTAAGGGAAAAGCACTAATACTCAAAGCATCCTTGAGGGACCAAGTCATCTTTCTCAAGAATGTCTACATTACTGATAACATGTAGTAAATTTTGGAGCATATAATCTTATGAACCCAACATTCCACCTTCCAATATGAGTATGCAATCGTCTCATAATCAAATAGAAGGTTGACAGTTAAGTAAGGAAACTAGATCTCTTCACTGCAATGTAGTAAATTTATTTATTATTGTTAGCTATTAAAATCATCTCTCATTTTGAAAAGGAAAAGTAGGAAGAAGCCATAACATGCTACATTACAAAGTACAGAACAAGCTAAGAACATTTACAGTTAAGCAAGAAAAATTAGGCAATGATGCATCAACACGTTTCCAACAACCTTAGAAAAAAGGAAATAAAAGCATAATAGACGTTTCCCAAATGGGATATCATGCCAATTTGGGAATATTCCTCCATTACAATAGACGACAAAGGTATACGCTTCCAAAAGTTATAACAATCTTTACGGAGATGACATAACAAGCTTACATTCGCAAAGTACACAACATTTTTAACTAGATAAATGCTTACTTTATGAGAATACACGTGCATAAATCTCTAACTTACTTCACCACAATATATGTACCGAATGTCCTTTCATATTATCAGAATCTGAATAATGACGTACTGCTAGTTTCAACTTACTTTATCCAAATATATCCAACATACTTTATGAGAATGTGCAAGTGACAACTGTCCATCTTACATCAAATTGTACAGCTATTAATTATGCCCGTCAATTATCGTTCGGTTTTGAAAAGCTGAAAGAACATTTAGTACACATTCTCGTAAAGTAAGTTGGAGATTTATGTACGTCATCGGTTCCTAAAGAGGTGAAAGGACATTTGGTATGTATATTCTAGTCACTTAGCAATTTTTTTGGTTAAAATCTTTTTATTTAGGTCATATCTTTGCGAATGTATTTTCTTTTTTTTTTATGACCGTGATTTACGAGCCAATTATCGTGCACCTTGACTAATTCCACGCAGGGGTGGCTCGAAAGTGTTAAAAAAAGACATGTGCCTTAGGCCCCAAATTTAAGGAGCCTCACTTATAATAATAATAGATTATAAGTAATTATTTTTTAACAAATATTGAATATTATTTGTAGAAAAAAATTAAATTTTCATGAAAAATGAAAGAAATATTAGAAGAAATTTGATATATTAAGATTACTATATCTCATGAAAAATAATTTAAAATAACAATGATTATATTATCAATTGAAAACTCGAAAAAATGAATTATATAAAAGTTAAACAATTCAAGTTTAAGGCCCCGTTTAATTTTTGCTTTAGGTCACTAATATCTTTGAGCCGCCCCTGAAGTAAAAAGTATCAAATAACTCTATCCATCAAGGCTCGAACAAATGAAAACAATCACCTAGTGATTTGTCTCCACTAAGTTTTAAACTTGAGACCTTAAGGTTCTCAACCAATTCCTTGACCACTAGGCCACACTCCTTGGAACAAAATATGATGATTTTACCTTTACAAGAATATACTTATCAAAATATCCTTTCCGCCTTTTAAGGAACAGAATAGTTATTGACGAGAAAAACTAATAGTTATTCAGCCTTACATAAGATGGGAAAAGCCAATTTTGTTGACGGTCATTTCAATTTCTTAAATCCATAAATAAGCTTATGGTTGGATTTTGGGAAAATGTGTCATTAATGTATTGACAGCTAATTGACTGAAAAGGGAATGATCAATCTCGAAATGCCCTTAAACTGCTAACAATGTCCAAAGTGCATTCATACTTTATGTACGTCATCTTCGCGAATGTACATTCTACCCTAAGCTGCCAGTTGAAACTTGTATACACATTTTACCTTTGTCGTCTAATATAATGGAGGAATGTTCCCAAATGGGCGTGATATTATTCCATGTGAAAGTACCATGCTTCTTTCTGATCGTTTGTTTTTTTAAATTCTCCAACTGCATGCTTGTTAAATCCAACAATGGATTATTGAGGTGGTGCGCTCAATATGGCTGAAAACATTTTCCTCCAAAAATATTCTCTTTATTGTTTACTTATCTTGAAGTGTAGAAAATATTTTCTCTACTCATGATTTTCCCCTGAAGAGCGGAAACGACTTCACTCACTTATTGGCGGAAGTTATTTTCTATTACAAATATCCTAAATCCAAATCCAGGTCACTTACTTCAACTAACGATTTCTTTCATAAACCTTTAACATTAAAATTTATGTTGAAACCCTATTTTCATACCTTATCCTATACATCTTGTAAAATTTTACCAATGGAAACCTCAATGGAGTCCTGTTAGCCATAATTTCTAATCTAGAACACCTCTAACATGTACCACTTTCTGGGGAATGGAGGATTGACAAATGACATGATAATCTCAAAAGAACATATAGCACATAGTTTAGCAAGTTAAGAAAACATGTAGTCTATAACCCAATTCAATAAATTGCAGTCTGCACCATAGACCAACACTTCAATTCAACAAAACATAAATCCAAACCCAGAACCCTAAGAATGATAAATCAAGATCAAAAAATTATACCTCTCTAGCACAGCGCCTGGCCTCCATGTTATCAAGATCAAGAAATTACAGAGCCATCTCACTCCTCACTGAAATTGACCTTCTGTTTCCCCAAAAACCCATCCACAACCGAAAATGGGCGAGGAATTCAAAACGCACATAGATCTGATGAGTACACAAATCAAATTTTAACACTTCACCAGAAGAAAAAGTGTTTGGGATTCGTTGGTCGCTGGCGGAGAAATGTAACATCGGGATTCGTTGAACCCCAAATTAATTTATGTGATTTTCAGATCCTTCTAGAATCCTAATTTACTGAAGAAGTACTAAATATAAAAATAAAATAACAAAAAATTAATTGGAAATTCATAATTATCCTAAATAATGCTTTTATATTAAAATTAATGGGTTTTTTTCATTATTTAATTGGTATACAACTTATATAAATGAAACTTTAAAAAAAAAACATCCAAACGAGGAGTTTATTCCTAGCGATTGGCTAACCAAAAAAAAGTTAAAAAAATAAAATAATATGGATTCAGGTTTAGCCAAAATTTTATTAAAAGAGAATTATTTATATTAACTACTACATTTCCATGGCCACCAACTATCGTCAACAATTATGGGCAAAATTTTTCTTTTTTGCTGTTGAAATTGAATGTTTCTGACTCTACTTAAATTTTGATTAAATATAATATGTTGACAAACATTATATACACTAAACTCAAGTGAAAAATATCTGAACGTTTACTGCTTAAATAGTAATTTTACTTAGCAAATAAAAGAATGAAAACACAAGGGGAAAAAACCAATTAATTTAAATTTAAAAAGCATGTAACTAAAAATGGATCAGGATACTAGCTAATTCCATATTAATTCTATCAAAGAATAAAAGCTAAGTTCTATGTTGAAACTGCTTGAGAATGAAAATGAAACGACCTAAGAGATAGAAAATAGCCAGGGTTCTTAAGGCTTCAATAAGATTTGTTTAATTCATTGTCAAAAAAAAATAATTCTACAATTAATTTTTTAACAGTCGGAATTAAAGCTTTATTACTTACGATACACATAAATAATTTTACATTAACACTGACGTTTGCATATAAACGCTAACATTGCACATTATTAATTTATATCCTTGTATTGTATGAGAGAAATAAAATAAAATAAAATTGACGTCAAGCCAAAAAAAACTATCAAATTAAACTACTTATTCGCAATACAAATAAATTATATTTATCTCTAACTTAAATGTTGTGTAAAATAAAATTAACACATACTTCTATAACTCTTGAACTTTCATTGATGCCACTTGTTTATGCATACAGAAGCTTTAACCTCTAACTAGCAAAACACCAAAAAATAATAAGTAAATTTTCACATTGTAAATTAAAGGTAAAAATGTGATCGGTATTTTCAGGAGACTTCTTTGCAGTTTCTTATCTTGGCGTTACAAGATCGAATGCTGTAAGTTTGTTTTCTTTCCGGCAATTGATTAATGACCTTTTTATCATTGTTTGGGAAAAAAAATTATTTCTTCAAAAAAATAATTAAATTATCTAATCTATTTAAGATTTAAATTATATGTACTAATATTGTAAATTTAATACATTATGTCTCTTAAATTTGTAGGGATTTTCATTTAGATTATTGATAAAAATAGGCTTTATTCGAATTAAAGCCCTCAACTTCACCGAAATTTAAATTAGACATTTTTAAATTTTGAAAGAAAAGATTATGTACTTCAATTTATCTATTAAATGAAGTTATATACAACAACCTCCAGCACAAGATCTATAATTTAAATCAAAAGCAAGTAAGTTGAACGTATCAGGTTACCAGCAAATTATATTAATTCTATCAAAAAAACATAAAAAAAATCAGAAGATAAGTTCTATGGTGAGGCTGCTTGGGAATGAAAAAAGAGCTTCTATAATTAATTTTTCAACAATCACCATTTCAGCTTCATTATTTACAACACACAAATATTTCTACATTAACACTAACATTGTTAGTGACACGTTATCAATTTATTTTATTGTACTACTTGAGAAAAATAAAATAAAAAAATTAAAAAGTCATGCCAAAAAAAACTATCAAATTGAACTACTTATCTCAATAGAAATAAACTGTAATTATTCTCAACTTAAATGTCAAGTATAAAATAAAATTAACACATATTTTAATAATTCTTTAATGCACATAAATAAGTCTACATAAACACACATAAATAATTGGTCATTAAATTGATGTCATGCTAGAAGAGAACTACCAAATTGAACTACTTATTCTCACTACAAATTAACTGTAACTACAAAACTAAATTAACACATAATGGGTATCCATTCATATTATCCATATTAAATCAATTAGGTATCCAACTCATTTGAAAATAGGTAAAAAAAACGAATAATACCTATATTACCCATTTAAAATGGATAGTTAAATGGATAAAATGGATAAAACAAACAAAAAAATGTGATAAAGAGTTAGATAGTAAGAATTTTTTTTTTAAAAAAAAGAATCTAAAAAAATCATGAAATTCTTTTGTACATTTGATTTGGGATAGGGGTGGTAGGATGGGGGGTAGGAGGTAAGGGGGGTGATAATTTTTTTTTTAAAAAAAATTAAAATATTAATGACAAAAATTAAATTTTTTGTTGATTTTTTTTGTGGGATGGAGTATTGAGGAGGAGGTGTAGGGGGTAGGGGCTGGGTAGGGAGTGTGGACATTTTAAAAAAAAAGATCAATGATTTTTTTTTTGGATAGGGGCGCGGCGCGGGGGGGGAGGTAGGGTAGGGGGTGGGGTGATAATTTTTTTAAAAAAAATTAATGCTTTTTTTTAAATTTAGTGAATTTTTTTTGTGGGTGGGGGGGAGGGGTAGGGGTTGGGTGAAATTTTTTATTTTTTACATTTTTTGGGAGGTGGGGGCTGCTAGAGTGGAGTTAAGTATTAATTTTTTTTGTTTTGTTTTTAAAGCTTTGAACAAAATCTTTAATCTAATATGGGTAATATGATTATCCATATTATCCATGGGGTAAACTCGTTTTACCCATTTAAAATATGTGTTGAGTCGGGTAATTTATCAATTTTTATTTAACTCGTTTTTTGATCGATTCATATTCGACTCGATCGTTTGCCACATGTTTATGTATGCAAGACAACTTCACCCTCTAACTTGCAAAACACCAAAAAACAAAGAAGCAAACTTTCACATTGTAAAGTTCATCTAAGTGCAAAAGATGTGATCGATTGTTTTTTGGAGATTTCATGGCCGTTTATTATCTTACCGTTACAAGATACAATACTAGAGACTCGTTTTCTTTCCAATAGCTGATTAATAACCTTTTTTTATCCTTGTTTGAGAAAAACAAAATTCTTCAAAACATGATTAAATATCTAATGTATTTAAGATGTAAATTATTAATACTAATAATTATAAATTTAATTATCTAAACTATTTACTATTTAGTAGTGGATGTACTATACTTAGACAACTCCATTAAGTTTAATGCATATATAATACTTGCTAATAGTGTGGATTATGAGTTGAGTCATGCATGCGAGTATATTATTTAAAATCACTTAAGTTGTGTCCCCAACGTATATCATTCACTTTATCACTCCATCAAAGCACAAAATAATATCTCTTTTCCTTCCTATGCTTTCTCCATTTTTTCTTCTCTCTTTTCCTATGGGGCCTCTCTAACAAGTATGGTGCTAAGGAGGTGCAAGTAGAAATTATAAATATACAGGAGAAAATGGATAAAAAACTGTTCAAATTAGAAAGTTTTGAAAACTTTTTTTAAAAAGAAAATGTGTCTTTTCAATTATTTATTGATTAGTTAAGTTAATAACATAAAATATATTATTTTTATAAAAAGTTATGTACAACACACATTAATAATTCTACATTATCACTAACATTGCATGCTAAGATTGATATTGCACATTATCAATTTATTTCCTTGTACCGTCTAAAAGAAATAAAACCAAAAAGATTGACGTCATACAAAAAAAATTATCAAATTGAACTACTTATTATCAATATAAATAAATAATAATCATCTCTAAACTTAAATGTTAAGTATAACATAAATTAACAAATACTTTTATAACACTTATGAAGATACAAATAATTCTATATTAACACTGGCAGTATTGTTTCAAAGATATAAAAATTTTAAAAAAAGGTCGTCATGATTGAATCGAACCACCAAATTGAACTATTTATTATCAATACAAACAAATTGTGATTATCATTAACTTACGTATTAACTATAAAACAAAATTAAAACATTTATTTATAATAACTCTTGAACCTTCATTGATGCCACATGTTTATGCATGCAGAAGCTTCAACTTCTATCTAGCAAGATACCAAAAAATAAAAAACTAACATTCACCTTGTAAAGTTCATTCAAGTACAAAAAAAAAATATGATTGGTATTTTTCAGACACATCTTGACAGTTTCTTATCTTGGGGTTACAAGATACGATAACGATACTACATGCTTGTTTTCTTTCCAGCAATTGATTAATAACCTTTTATTCATGTTTGAGAATAAAAAGAATTCCTTAAAAAAAGATTAAATTATCTAATATATATAAAAATTTAACAAAAATTATATACACTAAACTTAAGTATAAAACGTCTGAAGGTTTACTGCTTAATTATCAAAACAAGTATATATAATTTCTTTTTTAAAAAGACACATTATGTGATAAACTTTACTACTTAACAAGTTAAAAAAATGAAAACACAAGAGAAAAAAATCTATTAACTTAAATCAAAAGCATGTAATTAAAAACGGACAAAGTTACTAGCTAATATTATATTAATTTTATCAAAGAAATAGAAGCTAAATTCTATCTTGAGGCTGCTTGGGAATGAAAATTCAACGACCTACGAGAAAGAAAATAGCTAGGGAGATTTGTTTATTTCATTATGTAAAAGTATAATTCTATAACTAATTTTTTAAACGGTCACAATTACAGCTACATTATTTACAACACAAATGAATAATTTTATATTAACATTGACATTGTACATCATCAATTTATTTTCTTTGTATGATTTGAGAAAAATAAAATAAAATAAAAAAATCAACGTCATGCCAAAAAAGAACCTTTAAATTGAACTATTTTTTCTCAATACAACAAACTGTAAATATCTCTAACGTAATGTTAAGTATAAAATAAAATTAACACATACTTTATAACTCTTGAACACAAATAAAAAATTCTACGTTAAAACTAGCATTGCACACAATCAATTTATCTCCATGTACAATTTCATAGATGTAAAACCAAAAAAACTGGTGTCATTCTAAAAGAGAACCACCAAACTAAACTACTTATTTTTCAATACAACTAACAGTAATTATCTCTAACTTAAATGTTAAGTATA